CCTCAGTTTGTTCTCAGTTTTTAAGAGTCTCTTATGCTTTCATTGCCAATTTTATTATGGAGACAAAAATAAACGCAGCATCTATATCATCCGCTCTGAAAAACACTAAATGTTAATCATATGCATCTCTATGATATACTTAAAATTATTGTTTTTAAGTAACCAGATATATCTATTACATTGTTTAAGTTCTTGAATAAATTGTATTTTTCAAAAGTCTGTGAGGCCACGTTTTTATCATAAAATGACTCAATATTCTGAAGTTTTTAAGTGAAAGTAAGTACACTTTACTCCACCAATGTTGGTATATGAAGTAGGTCATTTGTCTGATATTTTTGGTCATTCAAAATTAAGTAAGATATTCCAGAAAAGGGATTGTGTCTTTTACACCTTTATATTCCCAGTGCCCATCATACTGGCCAGCACAGATGAGCTATTTGGTGACTTTTACCCCAAATCAAACAGCCAACATATACCTGCCAAAGGAAATTTAACCTGACCTCTGATCATTTAGGTATCGTTCAACCTGGTTATCTTACTTTTCATGTACAATTCTCCTTTTCTAAAAAATACTTTGTACCATCACTATACTGAGTATTATTTAAAATATTTAAATGTGTGATGGTCTTTTGTCACTTACTTTCATGTGTTTTGATGGTCGATAACACAGACATAACTGGAAGGAATTTTTCCATTTCATTGTATCAGAATAACAATTATGCCAAAACTTACTTTTCCCTCATTTTATTTATATTCATTAGATTTTTATGTATTTATTGGATACCTTGAAATACTGTCAAGAAAACTTTATTTGAATAAGTAATATGACTTAGAATTGGAAAAAAAATGAAGTAAGAGTTAAGATTCAGGGAATTTGAAAAAATAATTGCTAACTTAATTAGGATGCAACAGCTTGACGGGGTGCCTGGGTGGCTCAGTCAGTTAAGCATCCAGCTTCAGTTCAGGTCATGATCTCGCTGTCATGGGTTCAAGTCCTATATTGGACTATGTGCTGACAGCTCAGAGCCTGGAGCCTACTTCAGATTCTGTGTCTCCCTCTCTGCCCCTTAACCACTTGTGGCATCTTTCTCTCTCTCTTTCTTTCAAAAATGAATAAACATTTTTTAAAAAAAGAATGCAACAGCTTGATTAAAATCTTAAAAAATTGAATTATAACCACCACATCTGCAAAAAAAAAAAAAAAAAAAAAAGCCAAAAAATAAAAACAATTTCAACCTTTATGCCTCATGCTGAGAAATTGCATGATGGATGGAAAAATCTTAAACAAGGGTACTCAAAATTCCTCCCCCATCACCATCATACAATGACCTATACAGCCCAGAAGTCTTGTCCTCTAGCAGTTGCTCCCTTAATACATGTCATGCATATTGGACTTTGCTAGGTAGTGTGAAAGCACCTCCCCCCCCAAAAAAAACTAAACTATGCTCCTTGTCCACATGGAACTTAAAACATGTACAATTTATGTATTAACCTCCAACTCTGCAGTACACATTTGCACAAAGGTAAGATAGATCAGTGTGAGTTTCACATTAGAGAAATAAGAGTGAATTCTCTACCCTACTGCCCACCCTGATCTGTTCATGTATCCATCCTCAAGGTTATGTTATATAGGTTCCTTCTACAGGTTCCAGTCAGGGTTGGGATTAGGGGGCTTAGGACTCTGATAAATGGATGCAAGAGGTAAAAGTTAAAGCCAAATTGGTAGAGATAGAATCAATGAGGTACTTCCTGTTGAGGTGCCAAGATGATGAAACACTTGTCCAAGTCCAATTATAGTCCCTAGCCCATATGGTATTCCCATAAAAAGAATGCATGAATCACTACCCAGCATAGTAAGAACATAGATTTGGGGGCACTTGGTTGGCTCAGGTAGGAGAGTCTGCAACTCTTGATCTCAGCGTCATGAGTTCAATCCTTGCATTGGGTGTAGATGTTACATACATACATACATACAGAAACAAGGAAACAAAACAATTTTTTTTAAAAAAGAACATAGGTTTGGTTTACTGCTTACAGGCTGTGCAACTTCAGCAAATTATGTGAACTCTCTCAATCTCTGTTTATTCTCTGTAAGGTAAGAAGGTACCAAATATTGTAGTTGTTTACCTAATATCCAACACCACTATCCCCACTTTCTTAACAGGATTACGCCTTCCCAGACTCCCATGTAGTAGATATGGTAACCACTTGACACTGTTCTGAACAATAAAATATAGGCAGGATAAAGGTTTGAGAAAAACTTTTGTTTATATTTATTTATTTATTTATTTATTTATTTATTCTACAGAGAGAGAGCCAGCTCGAGTGGGGGAGAGTGACAGAGGGAGAGAGAGAATCTTAAGCAGACTCCATGCTTAGCACAGAACTTGACATGGGGCTCGATCTCACAACCTTGGGATCATGACCTGAGCCAGAAATAAAGTCAGA